CTCTCCAAACCTGTTGCTTTTAAATCTCTCCTTGGACAAATTGTGTGCATTTGCTGGCTAAGCAGGTGTCTAAATCTTTAATTTAACCTAATTCAGATTGGAATTTGTAAATAATATTAAACTGAAATCTGCACCTTCACATTCTGCAGTTGAGACATTTGGGTAGGTTTACTCTTAAGGGATGTATTTAAAGAGTAGCCTAATGGAATCAAGTGTGATAGGGAAAATATAAGGTGGTGGAGTTGAGGGGTGTTCAATTTGCTATGATCTCATTGAATGGTAGAGCAGACTCGATGGGCTCGATGGCCTACCTCTGATCCTACATCTTATGCTAAAAGTGGATCCTCAATAAGTGACTCAGACAGACCCTCTGTGTTGGGAATATACAGAAGTAGGCAACTCAGTGTGACTTACAATAGAGTAGAGCCAGAGTTGAACATTTTAAGCAATGGAGGAAGCAGAGGGGTGTTTGACTGCTTTTGCATAAAGAAAGCTGGTGATTGTTGAGTAGGACTGACAGTATTTCTATTTTGAAAGTCTCTTTTTTTCTCTATTTCTGAAAGATGCTAGTTAGGGTAACAAACTTGTTAGACCGTAACCTGCTATGTGATTTCTGACCAGGTGTGACATTGATATTGGTGCGTTAAAAAAAAGCAGAAAAAAAGTCACAGTAAAGTGCTAAGACTGGAGATTCTTCAGTATACGGAGCAGGGAAGTAATTAATAACAAATAAAATCCAATAGGGATGGCAGCTTGTGTGGTGTGTTGCAGCTGTAGTACGTGGGAGCTGCTGGACACCAAGATAATCCACAACGAGCACCTCAGTAACAAGTGTTTGTAGTTCAAGCAACTACAGATTGGACTTGAGGAGCTGGAGTCTAAGCTGCAGATATTGTGCCATACCAGGTAGTTGGAAAGTTATTTAGCACCATGGGGCAGTCATATCCCTCAGATTAGTTCATTCAGACTTGCTCTGTGATCAAGGACAGAAGGGTACGTTCATTGGCAAGACAGGTATGCGGACCAAAGAGAAGTTCTCAAGAACGTCTGTCCCTACAACTATCCAACAGTTCTTGAGAACTGTGGGGATGAGAGTGGGGTCTGCAGGCAGGATGACTGAACTAACCATTACACTGTTGTACAGGGAGCCATTTAAGTGGGGAGAGGTAATAAGAATGTAGAAGTCGATGGGGGCAGTATAATTAGAGAGACAGAAACTGTTCTCTGCATCTGTAAGCATTACTCCCAAAGATTTAGCTGCCTCTCTGGTAACATGGTTAAAGACATCCCTCAGGACTGGAGAGGAACTCGGAATGAAGGAGAGGGATCTAGTTTCAGTATCAATGTCATTAGCTCCAAAGGTGACAAAGACTGGAAAAGAGGTTCTGCCACAAGGTTTTGAACTGTTAAGAGTTACAAACAGAAAAGTTACAAGCAGAATTTCCAACGGTAATAATCCCAGGACTACTACCCAAACCAGTGAAAACTGACAAAGTATATTAAGTCAAGGAGCTAAATGCATGGCTTAATGATTAGTGTGGGACAAATGGGTTCCAGTTCAAGGTATCATCACCAGAACTGGGGTAGAAGGGAACTGTTCAGATTAGACAGGTTTCACTTGAACCATTGGCTGGTACCAGTGTCCTGCAGAAACAAATAGCTACAGAAGTAGGGACAGCATTAAACTAATTAGAGGAAGGGGGAATCCATAGGTCACAAAAGCATATTGCAGCATTGTAGGGCAAATATTTTGAAGATGACACTCGGAAAGGGACAGCGTGCACAAGCATTAAAAAACAGCAATTAAGAGTATCAAAGGAGGATAAAATAGTGAAAAGGCAACAGTTATAGCTTTTTAATGTGTATAGCCCTCAGAACAAAATAAATTAATTAATAGCACAAAGAGTTAGTGGGTAAGATCTTATAGCCATTACGGAGACATGGTTACAAGGAGATCAAAGCTGGCAACTAAACATTTGACAGTATGTGGCCTTTCAAAGGCCAAGCAGCAAGGGAGGGGTGATGAGATGGCTATTGCTAGTACAGGATGGAACAAGTACAGTAGCAAGAAATGATCTTTGATCGGAATCCAAATGGATAGAAACAAGAAATAACAAGGGAAAGACGACACTGGTGGGAATTGTAATATACAGGTGCTGTAAAAGCAGTTATACTGTAGAACAGAATAAATCATGAAATAACAAGAGTATGTAAAAATAAACAGTAGTACATTAATCATGGAGGACTTTAAGTGAATGAGATAAACATGGGAACTATCACAACAGGAAAAAGTACTAGGGAAACAAGGGGCTAAAGGCAAATAGGTCCCCTGGATCTGATGGTTTGCATCATAGGATATTAAAGGAAATTGCTGCAGAGATAGTGGATGCACTGATAGTAATCCTCCAAGATCCTGATAAGTCATGGAGATTGGAAAACTGCCAATGTAACACTCACTCAAAACGGGAGGAAGACAGAAAACAGGTAACAATAGGCCAATTAGCTTGATATCTGTCATTCGGAAAATGTTAGTCTATTCCAAAGGAAATAATGGTAGAGCATTTATAAATACATGATACAGTCAGTTCTGATATAACGCGATAGTTCTGTTCTTGTGCGATCTCACATTAGAAGAAAATCGCGCAATAGTTGCGCCATTTAAACTAATGGGGCCGGAATAGCCAATACAGGTAAGGAAAGGTCGTGTTCTACAAATAGCAGTCTAAATTTTTCAATCGCATTAAAGCCAATTTGCGTTGAAGTAACCCGTGTTATATCAGAACCGACTGTATAATCAAGCAGAGTCAACAGGACTTCATGAAGGGAAAATCATGCCTCAGAAATTTATTAGCATTCTTTGAAGAGGTAATAAGCAACTTAGATAAAGGAGAACCGGAAGAGGTAAGACATTTGGATTTCAGGAGACATTCAATAAGGTATCGCACAGAAGCTAAGAGCCATATTGCAGGGGAGGAGGGCATATTAGCATGGATACAGGAGTGGCTAACTAATAGAAGACACAGAGTGGGGGTAAAGGGGGCATTTTCCAAATACAACCTTTAATTTATGGAGTATAACATGTATCAGAGCTGGGGCTACAATTACTTACAATATCCACTAATGACATGGAGAAAATGAATGCACTATCGTCAAGTTTGTGAATGACAAAAAAATAGATTAGAAGGCAAGTAACAAGGATGACACAATGAGTCTATAGAGGGATATAGGCAGATTGAGTAGGCAAAAACTTGGCATTTGAAATATAATGTGGGTACAAGTAAGATTATGCATTTTGTCAGGAGAATAGAGAAGTTAAATATTACTTCAATAGAGAAAGACTGCAGAAAGCTGCAGCATGAAGACTTGGGAGTCCTCATGTATGGATCACAAAAAGCAAGCGTCCTTTTTTAGCAGATAATGGAGAAGGCAAATTGACTGCCACCAGTCTACGAACAGCTACAAGCACCATCCCACACGTGGGTGCAATTTTAAAGACCTGACAAACGAACATTTCCAGCACTTACGAACAGCTGCTTCTACATAGTCTTGCATTGTGTTCCGACCTATATATAAATTGACTTATGACCAGCTCCAGAGTGTGCCTGTACTGTGAAAGGTTTTTGGCCCTTTATCTAATGGCCAGTCCAGAGAAGGTTCAGATTGAATCTGGCCACAAATGAATTTTCCTACAAGGAAGAGTTGAATACTTTGGGACTGAACCCATTGGAATACAGAAGAATGACAGGAGACCGTATTGAAACATACAAGATTCTCAGGTAATAGTCTGGGGACCTCGGTGCAAATCCCACCATGGCAAATTGTGGAATTTGAATTCAATAAAAAAAAATCTGGAATTAACAGTCTACTGATGACCATGGAACCATGGCCAGTTGCTGGAAAATTTCATCTGGCTCTTTAGGGAATGAAATTGCTGTCCCCACCTGGCCTGGCCTACAATGTGACTCCAAACCCACAGCAATGTAGTTGACTCTTAATTGCCCTCTGGGCAATTAGGGATGGGCAACAGATGCTGGTTTGGCCAGTCATGCCCACATCTTGTGAACGAATTTAAAAAATTCTTAGGGTAGATGCTGTGAGGTAGATTTTCGCACAAAGGGAAACAATGATCGGAGGGCATAATCTCACAGTAAGGGGTAGCCTATTTAAGACAGAGATGAGGATGAATTTCTTCTCTCGGCGGGTACCGATTCAAAGGAATTCTTTACCACAGAGGATTGTCAGTTCTGGGTTATGTACAGTTAAGGCTCAGACAATTTTTATTCATTAAGACAATCACAAGTTGTAGAGATAAGGTAGGAAAATGGATTTAAAGATTATCAGATCTGTCATGATCTCAAAGAATGGCTAAACAGACTCAACCGTCTTAATGGTCTCCTTCTGCCTCAACATCATATAGCCAGTACATTTTTCCATCTTGTCTTAGGTCTTCACCTGCCCCTCCTTCCTGGCAAGCTCATTACCATCACTTTTCTCTCTCTTCTTTTTCCACAGATGACAATACCATTTCAACATCTTCGCAATTTCTTTCTTTAATGCTCCCACAATCTTCACTGACCCCCTGATGTGCTGCTTCCTGAACTCATTCCTTCCCATTACTCCATACAGCGATCTCAGCATCTGCATCACATTCGTTGCTGTCATCGTGATGTTGTGCAAGTTTTTGTACTGTGTAAGATGACTGGTCTCACAACTGTCTTGTACATTCTTTCAGTTACAGTGAAACTTTACCTCAACACACCACTGTGCTCTTCCATTTACTATAACAAGATCCAATCCATTGCTTAAATTGCATCTTCTGTTACACCAAACCCAACTTATTTGAAACTACTTACTTTTTCCAAATCTCCCATATCTCTACCTTCACTTCGATCTTATTCCTTTTAACTGCTAATCTGCCTAGAAAGCTCCGAATGAACGCTTGCAGTTGAGCATCAAATTTATGATATGGTCCAATTTCTCAACAAACTTTCAGCACTTACCCTTCACCAAGTTTCTCCAACACATCAAAGACCTCTTCTGGCTGTTTAGTCAAACTGTCTTCGCTTAATTTTTTCAGAGACCTGTTTGGAGAGAGTGAAAGAAAATACATATTTTAAAAATCACAGTTTGGAAGGAACACAAGTTTAATGTCAGCTATCTAATCCTTCTTTAGTCATAATTCTGGTAACTCCATTTTAAATTGGCATTGATGTGACAATTACCTCATCGTCTGCTTAACTCCAATCAACTTTGTTGCCCTTTCATGCCCTTATACCCTTTCATCCCCATTAGGTCCATACTTTACAAGGACTGAAAATCCCTGGACATTCATTCAACAAGTTTTATTTGATTTTAAAGTTCAGATCTATTCAAATTCAGGGATGACAATCACCTGAAGCTGACAACAATTTAGCTGCTTAATCTCACCAGTCACATTTCAATATTTGGTTCAATAATCTAGTTTACAAATTGGATTTTTGCTATTGAAGATTGCTTTAAGAAATGGTGAGACTTTTTTTAAAAATAGTCATCATTGTGTTCATGATTAAAGGACTGTCTTTTAATGTTTTTGTCCTGTAGCTCCATTTATTTGATGGAAAATTCCATCCATATTCAAATCTCCTGAAATGTGAAAGAATTCCAAACCCAAATCTGATATCAGCTGAGCACTAGTTAATGAATAAATGCTTGCACCAACAGACGTCTTCATGCTGAAAGACCTCACAGCAATTTATGCAACTGAATCTTCATTGATTGAGTGCACTGTCTGAGAAAGAAAGACAACAACGTTGTTTGTAAATACTGATGAAAAGAAAGACATGCTGCAAAAGCTTTGCGCTTTGTTCTCACCGAGGTAAACAAAAGACAAGAATGCTAAATTTCAAACGATCGCAACTAATTATACCACAGAAAAAAATGGTGCTGATAAGTTGACAAGTCAACTCTCACTGGCTGAGGTGTTGTCATGAAGAAAGCACTAGGAAACTGCAGGTTCCTCAAGCTTCGAAGTAATTCAAATAAAATGCTAGGCTTGAACAGGTTCCTCATTTGCAGAGAATGAGTCAGTGTGTATATGTCACTTCCAGTAAAGTATGAGCCACATTGCTAGCTCAACTGATTACCTTAACATTAGCGCACACAGTATTAGAAGAAACATAGAAGATAGGAGTAGGAGTAAGCTATTCAACACATCAGTCTGGCTCTGCCATTCATTATGATCATGGTTGATCATTGAGCTCAATACCCTAACCCTGCCCTCCCCCATATCCCCTAATCCCTTGATCCCTTCAGCCACACAAGCTATATCTATCACCTTCTTGAAAAACACAATGTTTTGGCATCCACTCTCTGGGTGAAGAACTTTCTCACCTCAGTCCTAAAAGTTTTACCACTTCTTAAACTATGACACCTGACTCTGGACTCCTCCACCATCAGGAACATCCTTCCTGCATCTAACCTGTCTAGGCCTGTTAGAATTTTTTGGGTTTTAGATCTCCCCTCATTCTGCTAAACTTCAGTGAATACAATCCTGGCTGACTCAATCTCTCCTCATCAGTCCTGCCATCCTAGGAATCGATTTGATAAACCTTCATTATAGCAATTACATCCTTCCTCAAATAAGGAGACCAAAACTGCACACCATATTCCAGGTGTGGCCTCTACAATGCCCTGCATAAATGCAGCAAGACATCTTTGCTCCTGTACTTGTATCATCTCACTATGAAGGTCTTTATGCCCTGCTTTGTTTCACTTCACTTACTTTTAGCAACTGGTGCACAAGTACATCCAGGCTTGAGTGAGCATTCCCCTCTTTCAATTTACAGCCAAATAATAATCTGCCTTCTAACTTTTGCTACCAAAGTAGATAACCTCACATTTATCCATATTCTACTGCATCGGCATGCATTGGACCACTCATTCAGTCTGTCCAAATCATACAGCAATATTTCTGCATCCTTCTCACAGCTCACCCTTCCACCCAGTTGCATCATCTACAAATTTTGAGGTATGACATTTAGTTTCTTCATCTAAATCACTAACATATTATCGGGCATCACTAACTGAGCAATCAGAATGACACAACAGTAGACCTTTTGTCTTATAGTGTGATTCACAATTTGACAGTAATGTAAAATAGCTTGCAGCACTGAAGTGCAATAACAACTGTAATGCAACAAAACACAGCAGCTAATTTATAAACAGTGAGATCCCAGAAACAGCAAGGGGACAAAAGACCAAATATTCTGTTCCTTTTGCATCACCAATACTTTGCATGAACTTTGAAATGGCTGGAGGTCTTTGCTTTATAAAATAGTTTGCTGAAAAGCGATTGGATAGAAGCCTCCAAGGGTTCAATTGGTTGGGTGGGGGACTAAATAAAGAGCTTTAATTTGTGAAGGAGACCAAAACTAGAAGCCATAAATAGAAGAGAGTCACTGGTAAATCCAAAGGGGAATTCAGGAGGAAAAGGTTCGTGTCTAGATAGTGGTCAGAATGTGGAACTCGCAACAACATGGAGTAGCTAATGTGAACAGCACTTAAGGGAAAGCTCATTAAAACATGAGAGATAAAGGAAAAAGAGGGTATGCTGACAGGGTTAGAGGAAGTTCATGTGAAACAGAGGCACGAGCACAGACCAGCCGGGCAGAAGGGAATATTTCTGTGCTGTGGTTTCTTCACGATTCTTTGGTTACAACCTGCATCCTTGCATCCTTTCTTTTCTTTAAGGCCCCTCATCTTGGTTTCCCAAAATGCTACAGACATATTTCAATGCTGCTTCTGACTGCCTTCTATTCTGATCGTGCAATTCACTTACAATGAACAGATTCTACGCCATCTGTTGTCTCTTGGGATACTGAACCTGTGAATATAGATATCACCTGATATTTGTCTGCAACCAAAAATGGCGTTTCTACAGCTTAGAACGTAAGTAGCAGACCAGTTCACAGAAAACTCGTGTAGATTCATTCAATCTTCACTAATGTGCTCTGCTCCTCACATACGTCTACAGCTGTATATCCTGGCACACAGACATCCACCTGCTCCTGTTGCCTTCACCCTGTCCCAAAATGTTGCCGCACAAATTGCACACGAACCCAGGTCACTACTGAACTATTATGTGTGAAATTGCTGTCAAAAAGTTGCACATAAAGAGGAGAGAGTAAGTTTCTCTTTAATGCTGCTTATCTTATCAACCGCCCAGAGGCATCAACAGCTGGCAAGCCCGATGGCCACAGGCTCCTCTGGGGACTGACGGAAGACATTAAGGAAATGTAGCCAGTTGCTTATCAGCCAGCCCCACACTAGAATGACCCTGCCTCTGACAGTTACGAACCCGGGAACCTGACTTGTAACTGAGCTTCAAGTGACAAATACAGAATACTATCAGCCGTGTGCACTCCCATCAAGCAGGCAGACATCACAGAGCTCTTCCTGTCCTATGCCAGCCCTGCTTGGAGATTGTGGTTTAGCCTCTGCACTATGACACAAATCATACTATACTCCCTGTAAACCTCCCAGTCCCTGTAGAACACCAAACAAGACTTAATTACAGGTTAAGTAAAACGAAATGTTTTAATCTGGCTGCACACATTGATGCAAAATTATACAATGTTAAGGCAGAGTGCAAATGGAATTCATTTAATTACTCCTGTTTATTTTTGAATTCAACCTCCACCCACTCCACCTAAAATACCCACAAACTGGTATCATTTCAAAGCATCTCGCTGATTTGCTACTTCAGCCCAATTTTTGTCCTGTTAGCAAGCACAGTCCTTTGTCATGCACTGGCCTTTAGGACTGGCAAAACCTTAATAGTCTCAATGAAGAACAATGCAAGAATTGATAACCTAAACTGGCAATAATTTAACTACTCTTTATGCTCAGCCTTTTTACCTAGCTATCCCAGATTGCCAGCCTTGGCAACACAGCAGCATTGTCTAACCTGGGTCAAAAGATTGTGGGTGTAAGTCCTACTCCAAAGTCTTGAATACATAATAAAAACCAACTGAACTGTGGATGCCGTGTTCTGACGAAGGGTCACCGCACCCGAAGCGCTAACTCCGATTTTACTTCACAGATGCCGCCAGTCCTTCCTGAGCATTTCCAGCAACTTCTGTTTTTGTTCTTGAATATGTAAGTTTAGGCTGATACTTCAGTCCAACACTGAAGGAGTGCTGCACAGCCAGAGATGCCATCTTTTGGATCAAATATTAATTTGAGCCCAGCCTGCTCTCTCAGGTGAACATTAAAGATCCGCTGGTTCCAAGTATTGCACTCCAGAACACCAGGTAGTGAAGGATAGAACTAGAGCCAATCTTTAACATTTTACAGGCATTTATTTCTACTGATACAGGTTATAAACATGCACCTCTTAATCCAATAGTCATAGTTGTTCGTTTCTATATGTAGGGGCACAAGTGAATCCCCATTCTATGTCCAATAATCTGCATACAATTTAATATAATGAAAATACAATTAACACTATGTGAAGAGCAGAGAGCTCACCCACTGTCCTATCTAATGTTTATTTTTCACAACAAACTCAGTAGAAAAGAGGGTCTGCTTATAATCTCACTGGTGTCTTTGGGAATTTGTTGTATATAAACTGATTGCCAAGTTTCTTACATTACAACAATAATCACATTTTCAAAGTGCTTAATGGCTACAAAGTGCTTTGGGCAGACCTAAGGTTTTGATTGGTGCCATATAAATGCAAGTCACTCTTATTATTTGACACGTGGCTCATACCCACAGCAAACCTGACTCTAATTATTGAAGTCAGATATTCAGTACTGAAGCAGTTACTAGGCAAGAGATAGATAAATATTCAAACTGACTGCATTTCCTAACTGTATTGTAAATCCGTTTATATTCTTGAACTCTGCTCACAAAGAATGGCACCAAGCTGAAAAGAGGAATAGCACTGACCAATATCTAATCTTGGCTTCACTCAAATCTGAAGTGTCAAAAGAAGCAGCCATGGCACCCAATAGCTACAGCACTTGAGAATTTCTTTTCTGATTCTTTGCCTAGAAGCCCTTTGAAAATAAAGAGGCAAACAGCACGCTGCCCAAAATTACATATCAATACACTAAGAGGGGAGAAGGCTACTGAACGCCTGGAGTCTGCTCCACCATTCAGCAAGATCCTGACCAAACTGATTAGTCCACATTCCCACCAACTCATGACATCCTTTCGCCTCCTTGCTACTCAGCTCTACGAGAGACCAGTTATGGCTTTGCTTTAACTTTCTCATTGCCATATTGAAATTTCTGTTACCCACATACCTCTGTAATCTCCTCCAGTTCTGGTTTCTTCAACTATCCCCACTTAGTGTGGGTAAACATTAGCCATGCAACTCGTGAGAATCCTTTCCCAATGCGAGAGACTTGTAAGACCAGACGACATAAGTTTAAGATCAAGAATAAGAGTGGCCTAGAGATCTGACAAAAAAAGTTTCACCCAGAGAGTGGTAGAAATATGGAACCTGCTGCCTGAGATAGTGGTTGAGGCAGATACTCTCGCAACATTTCAAAATCATCTGAATGAGCACCTAAAATGCTAGGGCATTGTAGGCTATTGACCAAGTTGAATGGGATCAGTCTAGTTTAGTTTTGTTGGTCGACACAGACACAATGGGCCAAGGGCCTGTTTCTATGCTATATGACGACACAAAACGTGCTTTGAAATGCCAGTTAATGTTGATAATTTGAGAATCCAAAGCGTAGTTTTTTTTAGAAAAGGAACTCTCATACGCATCATTGCAACAGAGGGAAAGGACACAGAATTTACCACTAATCAGCCACTGGTTCTGTCGATAAGCTCGCAGTAATGATGCAACTGAGCTAACGACAGGAATTAAATGGCCCTCGTGATTATATCTGGTAGTAGCAAGTGGTTCTGCTGAGAACTAACAGTGGAACTTCCACAACTACAGTGGATATTTTCTTTAAAACCACAATACAGCAAGATTCATTCAATCATCCTAGAGTTAGATCACAAATCACAACTTACAACCATAAAAAAGTGATGTAAGGTGTCATCAACTAGACTATTAAGTAGCACCCTCCTGACTTATGTCCCATCTAATCTCTCCTGCTGCTACTGTACAGACCACCATGGTCTGTGCTCAGAAGTGTGTTCAATGCATCAATCAGCACGCACAGACCATTGCTCCTGACCTCATTGTAGCCTCCGTTCAAACATGGACAAAAGAGCTTAATTCCAGAGGGTGGGCAAGGGTGACTGCCTTTAACATTAAAGCCACATCTGACTGCGCGTTAAGAAACTCCATCAAAACTGGAGCCAATGGGAATCAGGGGAAACTCTTTGCTGATTACAGTCATACCTGGCACAAAAGACGACGGCTGTGGTTGTTCGAGGTCAATCATCTCAGTTGGAGGACATCTCTGCAGGAATTCCCCAAATATTTTCAGCAGCTTCATCAATGACTATCCCTCCATCATAAGGCCAGATGTGGGGATGGTCGCTGATGATTGCACAACTTCCAGCAATATTTGCGACTCTTAGAGCTAGACAACATTCACACTTGGGATGACAAATGGCACATAACAAATGCACCACACAAATACCAGGCAATGACCATCTCCAATCAGAGAGAATTTAACCATCGCTCCTTGACATTCAATGACCTTACCATCAGTGAATCCCGCACTCACAACATGTGCAGGGTTACCACTGACCAGCAAATGAACAGGACAGGTGATATAAATGCAGCGGCTATAAGACCAGGTCAGAGGCTGGGAATCCTGCAGCACGTAACTCCTAAAGCCTGTACACAAGGCACAAGTCAGGAATGTGATGGAATTCCTGGTACTTGCCTGGATGAGTGCAGCTCCAACAACACTCAAAAGGGTTGACACAATCCAGGACAAAGCAACCTGTTTGATTGGCACAATTTACACAAACATTCACTCCCTCCATCATCAACGCTCAGTAGTGGCAGTATATATTACCTGGAAAACGTGCTGCAGGAATTCACCAAGGCCCCTTCAACAAAACCTTCTATATTTGTTGTCACTACCATCCAAAAGGTCAAGGACAGCAGATCCATGAGGACACCACCATCCACAAATTCCCCTCCAACCTACCCACTATCCTAATTTGGAAGTACATTACCATTTTTCAGTGTTACTGGGTCAAAATTGTGGAATTCCCTCCCTAACTGCTGTGTCAGTCTACCTCCACCAAATTAAGCACAGCAGTTCAAGGCAGCAACTCACCACCACTTTCTCAAGCGCATCTAGGGATGGGCAATAAATGCTGGCCCAGCCAACGATGCCCACATTCCACGAATGAACAAAAAAAGGACATGACCACTGATGCGAGAATCGTGTCACAATACCACATTCAACCAGCGATGATTCCTGCACTGAATCAGAACTGTTGCAAACATCCAATTGCCACCCAAGATTCAGCAATGAAATGTTGGCCCATAGTCCCCCATCAGAAAGGCTCACCATCAGCACCACTGTCACCTCTGCTGAGCCACTCCTTAAAAACATATCCTGTCACCAGTTTTTTGGACACCTGCTTGAAAATGACTTGGTGTCAAATTTTGTTGGATTGCCCTGCTGTGAAATGCCCCATTTACAATGTTGAAGTTGCCATATAAATGCAAGTTGCTGTAGAAATCTCCACTTAGGCAATGCAGTGGAGAGGAAGTACCTCTGTGCCCCTCAATACACAACTTGAGGGTCAGTGTCAGTAAAAGATGAGTCATAAGTTTCATAAAAGCACAGAAGAGGCCCTTTGACTGATCAAATCTGTGCTAAACCACCTACACTAATCCTATTCTCCAGCATGTAGTCTATAACCCCGAATGTTATGACATTTCAATGCTCATCCATCTACTTCTTAAAAGGTTGTGAGGTTTCCACTCTCCACCATCCGCCCAGGCAGTGCATTCTAGATTCCCACCACCCTATGGAGAATTCAAAGTTTTGAGTAAGTATGAATCATTGGGCACTATTAATAGTCAGAGTAGTTTAGAGGTTGCTCTATTAATCTCTCTCACAAATTATGGCACTCAAACCCCTCAATTAAATGGTGACAATCACTGCTGTGCAGGAGGCGAGCAAGTCCAGGCCCCAGCATCAACTAATCTGTTGTGTCTATAGTTATCCACACCAGTTGTCCGCAATACAGACAGAAATACCAATTAATGAACTTGCACAGCTCCC